ATCCTGCTGGGGAGAAGCGGGGGTGGCTTTTAGTCCCTGCAACTGGCTTTGGATCAAGGAGGAGGAAGATGAGGAGGAGAAACAGAAGAAGAAGAAGAAGAAGGAGGAGGCGGCGGGGGGGCAACATGGACACGGGAAGCATCGCCTATGTGCTCCGACTCGAGCCCCCTCTTTCCGGTCGTCTGAGCTCCTGCAGATGACCTGCGCGGGCCCCTGGTCTGCAGGCCTTTGCCCCGTGTTAGCATTTAGCACACTTGCACCTGGGGCTTATACCTTTTCCCACTGGGCCTGGCTTGTCACCTTCGCTGTCGTGTTCCTGCTTTCTAGCTGGGACATTTCCTGTCAGAAGGGTCTCTCCTCCCACCCCTCACTCCACTAATAGACAAAGCGGGGCAGAGAGGGGTGATTGTCCAAGGTGCTGAGAGGTGGTGCCCTTCCCTCCCTGAGGCTTCAGGGGAGGCAGGGCCTCTCCTGGGAGGGTACGACCTCAGCAGCGTTGGGAGGACCTGAGGGGCCCTCGGCCAGGGTGTCACCCTGCAGGCCTATTCTGAGTGCCACGCTCTGGGCTGCTTCTGTCCTTCCTGGGAGTGCATCCTGCTGGGTGGCAGGCAGGACACAGGGATGTGGCCCAGAACGCTCAGGCCCAAGTCTCCCTCCGGGGAGCTGGGCTGGAGGCTCTAGGGGGCAGTTCTCAGGGGGAGGCTTTCTGCTCATTCCCGAGACAAGGGCTTGGGAGCAGTGATGCAGCCCTCAAATCTCTCAGCTGTAGAGACCAGGAGAGGGGTCTGGGGAGAGTGGCTTTGGGGTCCAAGGCAGGGATGGGCCTAAATTCCCCTCAGGTTTGCTGCCCTTAGAAAGCCCTTTGCTAAGGCAGTTTTGTCTAAAGTGTGGCAGAGGCCCTCCTGCCTTAAAAGCTCTGGAGAGATGAGGAGGCCCTCGGACGCCCACGCTGCCGCATTAGGGCCCCAGGGGAGGGCCCTGGCTCTGCGTGGCTCGAATTCCAGGTGGCTGGGACGCCAGGCGCTGGGGTATGGCTGCTCAGGGAACCCACAGGAAAGAGGAGGAGGCCCGGTGCCTTGGATACAGATCGGAACAATGACAACCACAGAAACGGCAGAGCTGCGGCTGGGCCGGCGCTCCACACTTTGCAACACCCCACCAGGTATCTGGTGCAGCTGGTTTTCAGATGTGGACCTGTGAGGAGAAGCCAAGTGCCTTGCCTGAGGTGCTCGCTAGTGGGCTTGATGGGGTCTGGGGGCTGGCTCTCTGTGCCCCACCTGACAGTGCTCCCCTGGCCCCAGAGACCAGGGAGGCCCAGAGGCTCTGGGGTGGGGTGGGGTGGAAACCTAAAATGTGAGCCCCCCAGGGAACTGTGACAGGGTTCCTGCAGGTGCATCGCCTGGGGACAGAAGCATGTGCACTGGGGCGCCTTCTCCCCCTGGATGCAGCGACCCTGCTGCAGGGCAGGGGCAGCTCCTCTGAGAGCCCCAGGCCCTTAATCCTGGCCCCTGCAGGCCATTCCTCTGCTTGGTGGGCATCTGCGGGGACCTGGGACCTGCTTGCCCTGCACCCGCACACCTGAGTTAGATTTCACCTTGGTCCTCAGAAATAGGAGAGACGGTCCCATTGTGTAGTGGAGAAAACTGAGCTTTGAGAGCACTCTTAGCCACTAAACAGTCATGACTGGACCCAGAGCTTGAGTCTGTCCCACCCTGCCTTGTGCTGTGATGATTTGGGGGGAGATTCTGAGTTTTCTAGCCTCCAATACCACTTTAACGACAAAGAGCTACCTGTTGCCTGGGGTGTGTCTGGAAGATGGGTTTTGATTACGGAGTTGTGGACATTTAACTCAGAGAGGACCTTCAAGGAGGAGAACTGTACAGTCCAGGTCCAAGAAATAGGAAGTGGGCCACTGCTCAGTGGGAGAGGGGCTCACCCTCAGTCTAAGGAAGGACTGCTTAACAGTAGACTTCTTGCAAGGTGGATCGGGGGCCTTGTAAAGCAGTGAGCTCCCCATTCCTGGAAGCGTGTGCACTGAGACGGACACTCACGGGTCAGGGGATTGCTGGGCGGGCGGGTGCTGGGAGTGATGCACTCGGGGTGTCAAGTCTTAGTAAGTTCTGATCGTCTGACTCACGGCCCTGGGAGAGTCTAAGTGCCTTAGGAATTCTCCAAGCAGCACACAGATCTGCTCTGTGTGCTTTTTTAAAAAAAAATGTCAGCCTTTATTCTTAGGTTTTAGGTTCACAGAAAAATTTAGTGGGAAGCACAGAGTTCCTATGTACCCCCTCCCCAATCCGTGCAAGATCTCCCCCACCATCAACATCCCCCCAGTTTACACCAGGCTTCACTTGTGGTGCTGTCTGTTCTGTGGGTTTGGACAAATGTGTAATGACACGTGTTCATCATTCCAATAACATTCGGAGTAGTTTCACTGCCCTAAACCTGCTCGTGCTCTACTCATTCCTCCCTCCCTCCCCCCCTAATCCTGGCAACATGGACATTTTTACTTCCTCCATTGTTTTGCCTTTTCTGTAATGTCATATAACTGGAATCACATGATATATAGTCTTTTCAGATTGACTTCTTTCATTTGTAATATGCTTTGTGCATTTTAGTGCCTGTTATGTGACCAATATTCATTTTTCTGTCCCTCCATCCACCTGTCCATCCTTCCATCCTTCCATCCAACCACACAGCCATTTGGCAAATACGGATGAGAGCCCACTTTCTGCAGGGCTCGGTTCTCAGGGCAGGGGAGGCAGCTGTGAATGGACAGACTGGACCCCTGCCTTCATTCTGAAAACCACAGGCCCCGGGTGGGTCTGCAGGGTACAGTTCCACTGGTCCAGAGACCATGTGGCACAGCTGTTTCCCCTGCTTGGCACCTTTGGGCAGTATCTCCTGAAGTGGGTCTAATCCAGAATCCCTGGTCTCATCATCTAGGCTCAGTCAATCATTTGAACCTTTCCCCGCTCACAAGGGACCGAACCCCAAGTCCCAAAGAAGCTGAGGCACTTCCCCAGACACTGAGCAAAGGGCTTTTCTGAGGTGCTGTCCCTGCCCTGAGACTGCTTCCTCATCTGTGCAGTGAGGGGCTTGGAGGACACGAGTGCAGGGGTTTTGTGAGTTTAGGGCAGAGCATTAGCTGAGATCCTGGGGTTCTGCCTGGGCGACAGCATGGGAGCCTGCTTGTTCTCAATGTTTGCCAAAACCCCTCCCCCTGGCTGTTCTCCACCCTTCCTGATTCCTCCCCAAGCAGGGGAAAACCAGGGAACTCTTCCCTCAGGCTCGTGGGGCTCCCGACTGTGGAATGTTGCTGTCACCCCCGCTGCTGCCAGCGCCTAGGACACGGAATCGTTTTCCTCTGGAGGTGATGGGTTGGGCAATGTCTCGTGGGGTCATGCATCCAGCCCCAGGTCTCCTAAGGCCTTTTCTCTCAGAGAAGGCATACGAGGTGGGGCGGGCCCAGGCGCCCTCATTATCCCGCATCTGGGACTGTGCTCCCGTTTCCTGTGGGCTGGCGGGAGCCAGAGGCGGCTGTGAGTCAGGGAGGCAGATCCTAACCTGCCAGGGAAAGCAGCACCCATCCCTCACCCAAACCTGGGCTTGGGAAACTGCCTGTCCTCGGCGGCTCTAGTAACAGCTTCCATTTGTCCAGCACCGACTGCCTATGTGGCCCATCACAGCTGTGAGCCCATTTCTATTGTTGAAACTACCCTGCCAGGCCATCTTTATGGTTCAGGAAATGGGTAAAAATAATTTGCTCAAAAATGTCACCCAGGGTACATCTACACAATGGAATACTATTCAGCAATAAGAAAGAAACAAATCCTACCATTTGCAACAACATGAATGGAGCTGGAGGACATTATGCTCAGTGAAATAAGCCAGGCGGAGAAAGACAAGTACCAAATGATTTCCCTCATTTGTGGAGTATAACAACGAAGCAAAACTGAAGGAACAAAACAGCAGCAGACTCAGAGACTCCAAGAAGGAACTAGCGATTACCAAAGCGGAGGGGTGTGGGAGCGTGGCCGGGGAGGGAGGGAGAAGGGGATTGAGGGGTATTATGTTTAGTGCACATGGTGTGGGGGGTCACGGGGAAGACAGTGTAGCACCGAGAAGGTAAAAACAGCGACTGCGGCATCTTGCTGCACTGATGGACAGTCACTGCATTGGGGTGTGGGTGGGGACTTGATAATATGGGTAAATGGAGTAACCACATTGTTTTTTCATGTGAAACCTTCATAAGAGTGTATATCAATCATACCTTAATAAAAATTTTTTAAAAAATCACCCAGGGAAAGGGAGCAGAGCTGGGACTCCAACCCAGGGCTGGATACAAAGCCTGTGCTCTGAATCAGCGCACCATGTCGCCCCTCTGCCCTGGGCCAGGACTGAGGGACTTTCAGCCTGCCTGAGGTCCTCAGTGCACACCAGCAATAGTCACAGACCCCTCCCGTCTGCGCTCTGATTTCACTTCTGCCACCCAGGAAGCAAGGGAGCAGGGTACTCTGCAGACAGAGAAACTGACGCTCAGAGAGATTAAGTAACTTGTCCAGGGTCACACAGGGCCACTGAGCAGCACAACTGTTCGTGAAAAGCTAGATCTGGCGTCTGCAGCCCAACACCTCCTGTTGCACCACGCTAGCACCTTGCTGCTTTGGTATAAGGTATCTGTCCAGAGTCTATAAAAATCAAATCACTAGGTCACACACACACACACACACACACACACACACACACACACACACACACGTGGCTTTCTCAATTCAGGGAGAGGGCAAACCTAGAACAAACAAGCCGATTTTATCACTTGTCAGAGCTCAGAAAAGAAGGAAACTTCTCCCAAATGCCGGGAGACCTGAGGGGAACTTCTCTCAGAGCCTGAGAGTCAGCCCCTGTGACCCTCACTAGGCCACCCTCCCTCTGTGCTGGGACCCCCGGTCCTCCCCGCAAAAGTTAAGTAGCTGGACCAGCCCCTGCTCGGCACCCACCTTGTTTGGAGTGGGCCACACTGGCACCTCAGTCCTTCCCTCAGTTCGGTCGGGCGGCCTGATGTCCCCACCCCTCCCGGGCGCTGGAGCAAGCTGGAGTCGCTGGGGAAACAGCTCATCTTTCAAGGGCTGGGTGGTGATGTCATCGCCCTCCTGGGCACTTCCTCCCTCCACCTCCAGACTAGCCCTGCACCCGGCACAGCTTCTAGAACCCAAAAGCCAGGTTGAGATGGCTGCAGCTGCCCAGGACTCCGCCTGCCCCCTGAGGCTTGAGAGCTCAGCGAGCCACATGGAAGATTTCCAGGTTAGTCCAAGGAATGCTCCATTGTGTACACTGGCTGCCCTTTGGAGTCTTGGAGTGGCAAAGGTGTCCCAGGACATGTCCTGGGCTCAACATCAGCCAGTCCTGGATTTCCAAGTCAGCCTTTCCATGGCTAAGGGCCTCAGGAAAGTTGTTTAACTTCTGAGCTGTGCCATGCAAGTAATTGTGGCAAATCTCAGCAGGGCTGTGATGAAGATTAGTATAGTAACCATCCTGACACATATATAACTTACTCTATGTCAGGCATTTTTCTAAGCACGTGAATGTACTAACTCAGCTAATCCTCCAGGAACCCTGGCAGTCTGGCTCCAAAGTCTATGTTCTTAATCACGATGCTATCCCCTTCTCAATTAAATGAAATAACAGATGTGAAGAACAGATGCGCAGACCCCTAAATACTAGTTCTTTTCCTTCTGGCATTGAGGTAACTGGAATACTTCACAAGTGAATACATTTGTCTAATATAACACTTATTATCTATCATTTTTTTCCCCACATGGTTGTTTTGTGGCTGAGTTTAATGGAAAGAGCGGGCATTTACAAAGAAGGTATAAACAGAGCAGGCAGGGGGAGTTCTGAATTTTTTTTAATGCCATGTATGCCTCCCATGGGGTGATGGTGGCAGAAACCTAGAAACATCTTCAGAACACTTGTCTCTGTCCTGTTTCCTGGCAACACTTAAGTGTTTGTGCACCCCTGATTTGGGGATGTCTGGCAATGGTTTCCTCCCGTTTCAACATTGATTGGTTTTCTTGGCTTTACTCCGGAGACTTACTGATATACTCCACAGCACTTAACACTTCCAGAAACTTAAAAGCTGGAAAGTTGAGGGGCTTTCATACAATTAATAAAAAAAGGACTTGATAAAATTCAACATCCATTTATGATAAAAACTCTCAACAAAGTGGGTATAGAGGTAATGTAAGTCCACAAAATAAAGGTCATATCAAACAAGCCCAAAGCCAACATTATACTCAGTGGTGAAAAACTGAAAGCTTTTCATTTAAGATCAGAAACAAGACAAGGATGTCCACTCTTGACACCTTTATTCAACATAGAATTGGAAGTCCTAGCCACAGCCATCAGACAAGAAAAAGAAATAAAATGCATCCAAACGGGAAAGGAAGAAGTAAAACTGTCACTATTTGCAGATGGCATAATACTATATTTTGAAAACCCTAAATATTTCACCAAAAAACTACTAGAACTGAACTCAGTAAAGTTACAGGCTACAAAATCAATATACAGAAATCTGTTGTGTTTCTATACACTAATAACAAACTAGCAGAAAGAGAAATTAAGAAACCAATCCCATTTATGATTGCATCAAAAAGAATAAAATACCTAGGAACAAATTTAACCAAGGAGATGAAAGATTTGTATTCTGAAAACTGTAAGACATTAATGAGAGAAACTGAAGACAACTCAAACAGATGGAAAGATATAGTGCTCATGGATTGGAAGAATTAATATTGTTAAAATATCCTTATGACTCAAAATAACCTACAGATTTAATGCAATCCCTGTCAAAATACCAGTCAGTGGCATTTTTCACTGAACTAGGAAAAATAATTATAAAATTTGTATGGAACCATAAAAGATCTTGAATAGCCAAAGCAATCTTGGCTATTCAAGAAAGAAGGACAAAGCTGGAGATATTTTAAATTATAAAGCTACAGTAATCAAAACAATATGGTAGTGGCATAAAAATAGACACAGATTTCAATGGAACAGAATAGAGAGTCCAGAAATAAACCAACACTCATATGGTCAATTACCCTGAATTGAAAGGAGGCAAGAATACACAATGGGGAAAAGACAGGCTCTTCAATCGATGGTATTGGGAAAACTGGACAGCTACATGCAAAAGAATGAAACTGTGCCACTGCCTTACACCATACACAAAAATAAACTCCAAATGAATTAAAGACTTAAATGTAATACTGGAAACCTTAAAACTCGTAGAAAAAAACACAGGCAGTAAGCTCTTGAACATTGGCCTTAGTAATATTTTTTTTGGATCTGTCTCCCCAGGCAAAGGCAATAAAAACAAAAGTAAGCAAATGGGACTACATCACACTAAAAAGCTTTTGCAATATGAAGGAAACTATCAACAACATGAAAAGGCAGCCTACTTAATGGAAGAAGGTATTTACAAGTGACATGTCTGAAAAGGGGTTAATATGCAAACCATATAAAGAACTCACACAGCTCAGTATCAGAAAAACAATCCAATCAAAAAGTGGACAGAAAACTTGCATAGACACATCATTGAAGAGACTTATAGATGTACAACAGACACTGAAAAGATGTTCCACATCACTAATCACCAGGGAAATGCAAATCAAAATCCCAATGAGATTCACCTCACACCAGTCAGAATGGCTGTTATTGAAACAATAAGAAACAACAAGTGTTGGTGAAGATGTGGAGAAAAATTGAACACTTGTATACTGCTGGTGGGAATAAAAATTTGTGCAGTCGGTTTGGAAAACAATTAGGAAATTCCTCAAAAATTAAACTAGAACTACCATACAATCCCTCAATTCTACTTCTGCGTATTTATCTGAAGAAAATGAAAACATCATTTTGAAAAGATGTATGCACCTGTATGTTTATTACAGCACTATTCACAATAGCCAAAATATAGAACAACCTAAGTGTCCATTGAGAGATACTTAGGAACAGATAAAGATGTGGAACACCCCCCCCCCCACAAATGGAATATTACTCAGCCGTAAAAAAGAATGGAATTCTGCAACTGCAACAACATGGGTAGACCTAGATGTTATTATACTAAGTGAAATAAGTCAGACAGAGAAAGACCAATACCATGCTTTCACTTAGGTGTGGAATCTAAAAAATACCCCACACAAATGAACAGGCAAAACAAAACAGAAACAGACTCATAGGTACAGAGAATAATCTGGTTGTTTCTAGAGGTATGGGGGTGGAAGATAGGCAAAATATGTGAAGCAGATGAAAAGGTACAAACTCCCAGTTATAAAATAAGTCACAGGGATAAAATTAAAGCACAGAGAATAGAGTCAAGAATATTGCAACAATGCTGTATGGTGATCAATGATAGGTAGACTTAATGTGGTGATTGCTTTGTAATGTATGTAAAAATTGAATCACTATGTTTTACCCCCAAAACTAATGTTGTATGTCAATTACAGTTCAGTAAAAAAGTCTTAAAACCTCTCCTTCAAAAGAGACCAGAGCTGTGGAATGGATAGGAGGATCAGAACCCTACCTGCTGTCTCCACTTCTCCATCATTTCTCTGAACCAAGTATGCAAACCAACAATCAAGAGATCACAGGTTCCATCATCACAGAGATGGGGAAACTGAGACACAGGAAGGTTTATGGGGAGGCTTAGCATCCAAGCCTGGTGTGGCTGTGGACTGGTTGCACAAACTTGAGCTAAGTTCTTCTCCCACCAGGGTGCCTCAGTAGTTCCTGGGCTTGCCCATAATCCACGAGCCGTCTAAAATGATATGCAGAACTTGTGTATGTGTTTTCCAGGAGAGAGAGGATATATTGCCTTCATCAAATTATTAGAGAAGTTTTCTGTGATCCAGAGCATTTGCAACCCATCAGAACAGAGAAAGACCTTGTAAAATCTCTTCAGATGATACAGCCAAGGGTTCCACATCTAGGAGATGAAAATCCTTGAAAATCTGAATTCACTGTAGATGTTTCTGTAAATACTACTGATGGAGAGAACTACAAAAGTCACCCATCCATCTACACACTTCTCCATCTACCACTTTAGTACAATTTGTTAAAAATGCTGCTTTGAGCCAGTTTTGAAGTCATGGCTGGAGGCTGGTCAGTTCTTCATGAGCAGCTAAGTGTGTATTCCAATCACTTTCCTTAACAGGCTTCCACCCTCTGGGGCACTATGCACCAGCTCTAAACCTCCAGATCCAGGTACCCAACGACTATGGACAGCCTCTATACCTGGAACTGGAAAATTTCTCAAATTAGCCAGTCTGCAGGGAGCCTGAGGAGCCTGGCTAATCCCACCTGCTTGCCGCACATAAGCTCCTCCCCACAGCTCCACATGCTGTTACTTGTCCCCGGCTGCAGTCCTCTGTGTGGCCCTGCCTGGAAGCTTGCTTACATTTGGAACTAAAGTAATCAAAAGTTCTGCCTTTTACCCATCAAGTATCATTGTATTGTGTCCTGCCATCAAAAGAATCTTTAAATCTTATAAAACAATTGCCCAGCCTTCCACTCACCTGCACTTGTACCTACCCATTAACCCAAATACCCATCCATCCATCCATCCATCCATCTACCTACCCTTCCACCATCCATCCAGTCACCCACCCACTCCTCCATCCACCCATCCACTCATTTATCAGCAGCACGTAGCTGGGCTGTGCACCGTTGGACAGAAGCGAGTGATGATCAGATACATCCATGCCTGGGGAGCCTATCCCTGAGGCCACTTCCCCCAGGGAGGGGCAGAGCCTGGGTGGGGACCCATTTCAAAAGGAGCTCCCCCTGGACCCAGTAACAAGCCACTCTGTTTTATGTCTGGATTAGCGTGTCTTCTGTGCTTCATTTCTGCTATGAGAAAATTTGGCTAAACCCTTCTTGTAAAATCTCTGCAGCTGCCTCCCGAGTATACTCTCCACCATTCAGTCGGCTCAGCTGGGGCTGCAGGGAGTTCAGCCTGGCCAGTCAGCTGCATTCAGAGAACAAAGAGGAGGGACTAGGTTATTTCTGCGTAACGCTGATGGCCTCCCCACTAAGCCAGGGCCTCTCTGCATGGTCAAAACCTGCTCTTTGGCCCTTCTGCCTCCCCAGCCTCATGCAGCCCCTAATGCAGCAGGATCCCACTTGACTCTGGACCTTTGCACGTGCTATCATCTCTGCTGGGAGC